TCTGGAGCCACAAGCCGAGCAAGAACCCTGAATCCAACGAGGTTTTTTAACCAAAATGGGGGGGCAAGAAGCTAGAAATTCGAGACTAGGATCTCAGAGGTTCTGAGCTGAGAGCTGGGGTTTGTACTCGGACTTTGCCTCTGACACCCCTTGTGAACCCACCGGCTCAATGGGGCAGGTTCCGTCGGAGCCGGAACGAAGATTCAATGTCGTCCCGCTACTCGGCTACACGCTGTTGTGTGGCAGAGCTGCCTTCATGAGCCCGTCACTCGCATATGTCAGTGTCGACACTTCACCCTGGAAGCGTTTGAACCCTGCGCGTGGAGTTCTGTGAGGTTCAGAGCCCTGGTACTGGCATTTCACATGGATGAGACCGAGGTGGGTTGCTCTAAACAAGTCCGCGTTGGCGGCAAGAGTTGGACAGCGCATGGCCATGCGTACGATGCGTACGCTAGTTGAACATCTCCCGTAGAGGTGTCTTTTGTTCGCACAGGTCCATGTTCAGCTTGACAGGCCGCAAAGCGGATCTTCCCTTCGCCGCGGATCTTTCAGCAGTTTCAAGTGTCCTGGCGGAACCCCTTTCCAGCGAACCTCACGCAAGCTGTCATGGTCAAAGACCCCGCAAGGCCGTCAAAGAAATCCTGCTGGCTGGCGATGCAAACCGCTTGGTGGCCGAGCTGACTTTCGCAACTGGGATGGCAAACGGGCTCACTGATTAGCTGGCGTGAAGCCTGTCCTACAGCCCTATGCTTGGTTTTCGAGCACGCGGGATGCGGAATTCCAGTACACGGCAGAGTGCCAAGGGTGCGGCCACGCACATGAAGCTCCAGCCTTTGCAAGTTTCGGGTCACCCAGGTTCGCATTAATGACTTGGCGGCGCCGCCAGACAAGATCGACGTCTCCTGGCACGCAACTGATGCGCCCGACCCGCGCTGTATCCTTGTCTTTCCTGCCTTTGTCGCAGTGCCCTTGTACGGGTCAAGGCAAAGCCGCTTGGAGGCCCCAAGACATCAGACGAAAAGACCCCAAACAACAGCGACACTGCCAGCGCGTTCGTCGGCGTTTCACTGCTCAGGATTTTTTTGGCATGCACATGTGGGATCATGTGGGCATATAGGTGCACCTAGCTAAGATCCATTCCCAGGGTGTGGTAGCCGACCTGGTCGCTGCCCTTCACGCTGAGGTTTTGCTTTACCTGGAGCCAGTCGTTGCTATTACGATTTTGGCCAACGGCATCATGCGCCTTGAAATAAATGTCAGGAAAGCTCAGGAGAGCATTCACGCTCCCACCGCCCTCTCGTCCCATGGAATCCCCCCGGTTCATGGTGGGTTTGGGGTTTAGGTTTGGGGTTGTGGGCTTCCCCATCCCCCCCCCCCCCCTCGGTGGTTCATGGTTTGCGGTTCACGGCGGGTTTCGGATTTAGGGCTTAAGGCCAGGCTGTTCATGCTGGCGCATGGTTAAGGTTTCTCCCACTTTGGTTCGTGGTGGGCTTAGGTTTTGGTAGGCTTTGGGGGTTTGGTTCGTGGTGGCTAGGGTTAGGTGGGAGCGGGGTATCCCCCCGCCCCATTGCCCCCTTCCTGTTAGGTCAGTTTTAATGCTGCGCCCCGGCCCAGTGCTTGTTAGGGTTCTGTTGTTTTGAGAGAGGCCCATGGCTGGTTCTCTGGGAGTCCAGAGTCAACGACTTTATATCCGTTCTCCATCATAAAAACAACTCGAAGACTTGGCTGGTGGGGAGGGTGCAACTTAAGAGGAAGGATTTAGAGGAGGGGACCTCACGGCCGAGGCCGAGGCGAATTTCGTTAAATTTCTGTAGGTTCCGTTGGCCCCTCCACACCTGAAGCTTCTGCCTGGGTTTGAAAGATCCCGCTGAGCACGAAATACTCCTTGACTGCAGGGGTTGCATTTTCCGTTGTTCATAGCCTCTCCAGACCAATCTTGCCTCAGTAGAAATCTGAGACTCCAGGCTGCAGCAGGTACGAGGTCGGACCCTTGAAAGTTCAAAGGTGACTCTTGAGCCTTCTCACCTCAAAACAAGACCTCGGCTCTCTGGCGAGGATCGGATTTCAGAGCTCGGCCGACTATCAGCACTGGTCAGGGTGGTTTTGGTTCGAGGTGGCGCCTTGGCTGCATGACCGGATGATCTTGAAAATCTGCTCCCTTTGGAAACTCCACAGAGCGCAGAGAATTTTGTCGGACGGGTCATTGTTCTTTCTCTCTTGCTCGCATCTTGGGCTTCTGCCCCAGAAAGTCGTCATACACTTCTGCCCCAGAAAGTCGTCATGCACTTGTGATTTCTACTAGTGGTTACAAAACTGAGTCGGAGCCTGTCAGAGCCAGAGAAGTGGCAAAGGAATGACATTGCAGCCGTTGTGTGTTGTGTAAATGTACGTCAGCATCAAAGAGAGAGGGCTCACTCTGCAGGCAGCCTAAGGCAGCAGCCCTCTGCCTGAAGTGAAGCGTCAGGCTGCTCTTCGCATCGGATACCGAAGAGGTTCAAGGGCCCCGTATTCTCCGGAGCTTTGCATGTTCAGTTCCAGCGACAAATGTTCCCCACGAGGCTTTCGCGCTGGTTCTGATCCTGGAGTGTTGCATCCGGAATATCGTGCCTCCGACCGCTGAAATCCGGGATTCCGTTTGAAGAGAAAGAGGGCCTGGGTTCCCCATGTTCCGAGATTCGGATGGAACCTTGTTGGACTGGTGCCACTGCTACACCCCGGGAAGTTGATGAGTAGGCTGCCCAAAAACCTAAGCCTAAACCCTCCAGTGACTCTGCTTCATAGTTATGGCCGCACAAAACTTTTCCGCAAGCAATTGCGACACCGTAAGGTAGGCGGCTGCTCTACCTATTTCTGTGGCGTGGAAAGGCCGGCGGCTTGGGGATGTTTAGGGTTGGGTTAAATTTTGGAGGTGCTTTGTGCCGAATCGGCGATGATCCCCACAGCATCAGAGACAGACTTGGCCCGGAAATGGATCATCACAATAGTCAAATCGTTACAGCATCGTCATTATTGTAGGAATCATCTGCCTTATGATTGTTATAGCTAGCTCTCATTATCGTATCGCGATGCCCTCCAACCAGTGCTGGGCTTCAGGGTCCGTTCGGCAGGATATGGAACTGGTGTGACATTGGCTTCATCTGCACCGCCTTGACAGACCTGCTGCTCCTTAGCGTGGCAAAGATTGAACGCCAATGTGATGTGGTTGAACAGGCTTGAGCTCTTGCAGAAATTTGTGGGGTTCGCACATGAATGCTGGACTGCTTGCTGCCGCCTGCTTACGATTGATACTCTAATAGGTGTGTTTCGAGGTTACGCATATGACAGGTCGCTTAAGCGGAACTTAGCAAACTTACCCCAAACCCTAAGCTCTAAACATCTCTAAACGCTGAACCCAAATTTTAAAAAGATAAGCCCAAAATGAATTTTCCAGCCCTTGCCAAATCTCCAAGGCTGGAAATCCTGGAGGTCGACTCTGGAGCTACTTAGCTTTTGCTGCTACTAGTTTTGGGGGGGGGCGGGGGTTCATTCCCCAAACTACAGGGGGTTCCACCCCTAATGTAGCCCCTAGGCCAGGCCCTAGCACAATGTAATCCTTCTTACTGTAACCCCCCAAAAAGGGTACCCCTAATTGTCAGCAAACTTCCGGGACGGGTTTGTCGTTTGGAAGGATGGTCAGTCTAGGCGGCGGGTGAGGGACTTGACTCTGTGTCTAGAATCAGAGTATATATATATATATCCGAGTCTTTGATCCTAGGCATCACAATGCAACATCACAGGCATAGAGGGCGAGATAGATTCGATTTGGGAATTTCCCAAATTCCGCAAATGGAGGGGGGGGGAAGATCGCTGGGACAGGCTATGTTCTTCACAACTCTGCTTCGCTTCGTTCGGCTGGTGCGGCTGACGCGGATAGTGAAGGTCTTCCGTGCCCTGGCCATTCAAAGGGCTCTGATGGGGGGTTTACGAAAATGGGGGGGGGACCCTTATTGGGGTCCTTATACTTATACGAGAATCCTACTATTTAAGGACTCTATCAGGGGTCCCTTATTTTCGTAGACCCCCATCTGGGCATCTTCGGCCAGAGCACGATGTACTCGGATATGGCTTCAGTTCCCCGCTGTAGATGTCTGTGGCAGCTGTCGCCTTGGCAAGGTCTTCACTGGATGAAGGAACTCCGCTTGATGCTCAAAGGCTTCTCAGCCAGCTGGTGTTCAGGGTTGCGAGGCTTTTTCGTAGCAAGCGCAACAAGAATGCTGCTGGATGCCAGTCATCAGCCATAGATCAGCCTTGGGTGTTCTTTGACCGATGCTTCTGTAGGATGCCAGGTTTCAAAGTTCCAATCACCCAGCACCAGATGCAGAGTTGTCCTGGCAGTTCCTTGAGAGCTTAGTGCTAGCCACCAAGGACTAGTTGGCAGTATGCAGACACTGCTGATGGCCTTTGTCTTGCTTTTCGTGGTCCTGTATGCGCCTTGACACCAGCTGTTGCAAGTCCCCTTTGCTTTGATCTCGGAGACCTTGTCTTCGGCAGTTGGGCTTCAGCAGGAATGGATTCCAAGACCTGCAACCAAAACACCCTAGCCAAGGTCCTGGCTGGGCTGGCCACATACACTCTGGGCCGCGATGACCTTCTTAAGCAGCAGCACAGTCTGCATTGTGCTCGTTTAGGGTGTCAGGGCTGGTCTTGAATGTAGAAATTGGGCGCATTTTTGTTATTAGCGTGGTTGTTTCTGGATCGAAGCATTGCAGGGTTCATCATCACACCTGAGAAAGCAAAGTGGGGTAACTTTGCCGCTTTCAGGACGGACCCGGACCTGCACCTCCTGTTTGAGAACTTGCCTGTGTCACGTGGCTGCTGAATAGGTTTCGTGAGGGAAGGCAGGCACCGCTGCGTAGCCTCCAGTCTGTTTAGGCATCGACTGCAGGACGCAAAGCTGGTCAACTCCCAAGCCTTTTTCTCTCGCAGCCTTCTCAGTCTAAGAAACAGCGTGGAAGTCGTCCATGCCTTTCAGTATGTCTTTTGCCAAACCCATGGTCATGTTGCCGACAGCGCGCTTGCTTGCTGCCGTTGCCATACTGCCACTCCTATCAGCTTTACGCCACGAAGTTGAACACGGAACTGCAGAGTTGCAGGCATCCGGTCACGAGTCGAAGTGGACACAGTGCTGCGTGGTAGATGGCACGGAAAAAGTGTCTTTGACGAGCTCCTCTTTCCGCCGAGAGGCAAAGAGCATCCTCCAAGACATTACCTACAGCGGTGCCTACGGCACGAAGGATGCCTTCTACACGGGCCGCTACGTGAAGCATTGCAAGCTCGCCTTGCAGTTCGATACATGTCCGAGCGTTCACCCCACCCTCTTCAACATCTACGAGTATGAGGATGCCTCTAAGCTGGTTGGAAGAATTGACAGCTTCTTGGCCAAGTACTACGTCCTTAGCCAGACATACCTCTTTGCTGCGCCAGAGTGTCCCGGATCACTGCAAGCCGCCAAAGACACCAACCGGTGCACCAGCGACTTCCAGCACTTTATGAAGCTCCTGTCTCTGTGGAAGGATGGGATGTCTCTGGTGGAACAAGTGAACAAGCTCAAAGGTTTTCGTGGCTACTTCGTAAACAAGGAACACAAGAGAACTCTGGACAGGAAGCTCGAGAACGTCATGTCCCAGCTGGAGGCCTTGTGGTAGCCGTGAGAGCTCTCCGTGGCAGCAGGCTCGATTGGAGCCTGCGACCCACGCTTGCTAGCTATTTGGACACAAAAAGGCAGGTATTCTCTCCATCAAGTGAGGCGCAGTTGAGCTTGTGCTGTATAGTGTTTAGTTTAGTTTAGCTCGAGCCACTCCACTTTGGCAACTGCAGCGACTTCGGTCATTTCTAGGCGTAAGATTTGCAGGTTGTGAGGCAGACGTGCAGCTTCAAGCAGTGGTCTCACATGTCCCGCCCAGGTCAATGTTCACGGCATTCCGGTGCTTCACAGGACAGTGCGAGACGAACACAGGTCCATCTGCCAGCACTACACGTGCAGCATGTGCCTATGAGGTCCACAAGGTACAAGTGCACACTGTTGAACAGTTGCAGAGTTTTTCCTTTGGTGGCCTCTTCAGGGTTTGATGTTGAAATAGTTTGAGGCAGGCCTTAAAGATCTAGCTCCGAGCTTCTGCCGGGAAAGATTAGCTTTGCAGTTGATGTACCTTTCGGAAGGGCCTTGCTACATCATGAACCAGGAATTCTGCTGAGGGGGTCATCGAACACTTGGGTCCCTTTTAGGATGTTGCGGATCCTTTTGGGAAGTTGCGGATTTTGAAAATCCCGTTGCAGGTGTGAATCAAGGGACATGTTTGGTGAGGAACATGCCCGGGCGCTGTCTGAAAGCTCTGGACCTCCTTTGCACAAGCGCCTGTGGAAGGTGCGCCCTTGGCTTTCATCCTTAGTGATCTGCTCCCTGGCAGCGATGGGCAGACTTCGGGAAATTTGGGGCGCAGGGCCTTGCATTGAAAGGGGCTAGGGTTAAAAGGCATTCCTGATGCGGTTACTGAGTACCATCTTGTGCGCCCAGGCTTGGTCTGCCTTTCATCATACCCTACATCTGCGCCTACATGCTGGTTACGATGGGCAGCTGTGCTTCAGTACATCAGGTGGAGATGCTGTATGTCGGTTCTGCGGAAGAATGGACCTTTGTTTCTAAGGTATATTCAACGTTATCCTGGCAGTGGCTCGGCATGTTGCCTTGGGGGGGTGGGGGGGGGGGGGGGGGGGGGGGGGGGGGGATGTGAGGGTTAAGGGCTCTGCGCACATCCACTCCACCCACCAAACTTCACCAAACCCCCAAGCCCACACGGACCCCAAACCCTAAGCCCTACAAAGCCATCCCATGCACTCTGCAGTAAACCTTGTAGTTACTCCAAGCCATGTAGACCTAGTGAGTGTGACCGCGGGTCCTTTGAAAAGGCTTTGCGCGCAGGTGGTTTAGAAGTTGCTTCGGTGCCTGGTGGTCGAAGAAGTAATTGATTCATCTCTTCATCATTCTCGGAGAAGGGCGTTTTATAGCCTAGGGCTGTTTCTCGCATGTGACCTACATCTTCGCAAAGCTCGGGTTGCAAGCGAACAAGGATTTTATGTGCGATCGAATATACTCGTGAGTCTCTTCGGTCGGCTGGGCTAAGAATCAGATGCCACCCTGGTCCTCAGCTTTCCTTGCTATCTGGGCCCCTGACACTTCAACCTTCAAGCCTCTGATCCTACCCGAGTAGAGACATCTTCAGGCGAGTAGGATTCTCTTGGGGCGGTCCTTGTTCATATGTGGCTCCATGAAACAAGTTACCCTCGAAAAGATGCCCCAAAAAGCGGCCCTTAACTTCGAGCAACCCTGCCCATGAAGACTCAAGTTCTCCTCTGCATCCTGCATCCTTGTAGCTCTCCGTCCCAGTTGATTTTTCGTGTGACGTTGGTGCTTCCGGAGGGGCTGCGGATGATTGTTTTCTGCATACATTCGTGCGCTGCATTGTGGCAGACATACATCTGCATGCAGTGAGTGCAGACTACGCAGATGCATATGATTTCCTATGTATTATGCGAACATGCATATTATACGCATATACAACATACATCTTTGGATATATACATATATATATATATATATATGCATGCGCGTCTGCATCTGCACCTTCACCTGCACCTGCATATGTATGTATGTCTGTATGTATGTATGTATGTATGTTTGTAGGTATGTATGTATGTATGGATGTATGTACGTATGGATGTATGACTGTATGGATGTATGTGTGTGTATATATGGTTCAGCGTCGAGCGTCCTGGGCCCCCCCCCCCCCATGGTATCCCCCCCCCCCAAGTCTACTCTACGGTCCCTAAACCCTAAACCCTAAACCCTAAACCCTAAACCCCTAAACCCTAAACCCTAAACCCTAAACCCTAAAACCTAAACCCTAACCCTAAACCCTAAACCTTAAGTCTTAAACCTTAAACCCTAAACCCTAAAACCCTGAACCCTAAACCCTAACCCTAAAACCAACCCCCAACCACACCACAGGGGGGGGGGGGATCATCTTAGTACCCCATCCGCGGGGAAAACCCTAAACCCTAAACCCTAAACCCTAAAACCCTAAACCCTAAACCCTAAACCCTAAACCCTAAAACTAAAACCCTAAAACCCTAAAACCCTAAACCCTAAACCCTAAACCCTAAAACCCTAAAACCAACCCCCAACCACACCACAGGGGGGGGGGGGGGGGGTACCATTGGGGGGGGGGGGGGGGGTAGGGGGGAGGGGGGGGGGGCCCGCCGGGGCTGAATCATATATGTATGTGTGTGTGAGTACATGTGTGTGTGGGTGGGGGGGTGGTGTGCGTATGTGTGAATGTGTAAATTGTATATGTGGCCTTGCGTGGGTGGGTGTGTGTGTGTGTGTGTGTGTGTGTGTGCGCGCGCGCGGGGAGGGGGGGGGGGTGCCTGAGAAAGATCACCTTCTCCCTGCAGCGTTTCGTAGGCAAACCTGAGACCTGCTGAAAATAACTTTAGTCGAATATCAGCTTTTGAGGCCCTGGCTAGAAAAGCACTGATTGCAAAGCCAAGGTATACGTGGACATCACCATGCGGGCTGCAAAGGAACCTCACCTGACAGTTGAGAGGCTTCAGATTCAGAGTGGTTTCAGACAGTGGCTGTCCACCGTCATCCATCCCACCTTCGCAAGCTTTGGGCATTCAAGCGTGGCTCCCTGTTTCTTGCGTCCTTGGGCTTCCAGGAGAATGAAGCGATCACTGTTGAACAGCATGCCCGAGAAAGCGTCCGAATTGCCCGGACAACTCGCAGCTCGGAGTCATTGAAGCTTCAGCGGAAGGGCACTTAGCCGGAGAAACGCATGGCAAGAATGCCCGAGCTTCTTCTGTGCGCTTGCATGGGATCGAGGAGGGCAAAGAAGCAGGGACAGGAAGCAGCAAGAGACTCTGTCAGTCGTTTTTGGACCAACTGGCTGATTTCTTGCTTGCCAACCAAAAGATTGCGCAAAGACTTAGCCCCAAAATTCCCAAGGCGAGCTGCTGAAGAGGTTTGCCGCCGCCAACAAAGTCTTCCGGGAAAGAGAGGGCGTGGAAGGAACCTTGAGTCGACCTAGCGCCACTTGGTCCAGGGTGTTTGCAAGGCTTTGCTGATTTTCTTAATCTGAGGGATCTCGAGCAAGCCGCACAGACAGTCCCATTCATCATCAGTACCACATTGCATTCACCACTACATGTGGAAGCTGTGCATGAGCCTGACTTAAGTGCCACTCTTTGACACACCCTGTCTTCTCAGGTCCTCGATTTAGACTTGTCTCCGCAGTCTGCGCACTTCACAGATCAGGCGGGACGTGGCTGCAACCCTTGCGGTGCTCGCGACATCCCAACCACCACCCGCCCTCCCCCATGGTCTGCTGTGTCAGACCGTTAGTCACGTCTGCATGCTTCGGTAACCGTGCTCACTCTCCCAACAAAGCTTTGCTTTGCTCCACGACCTCATGGGCCACAAGCATTCGCGAGGCAATGCAAGAGGAGATCGAAATCACCAAGGCGCCCGTAGATCGCAAGCCCACCCTTGAAGCAGAAGAACTGCCTGCACAAAAGCGCAAACCTTCCCACCTGTAAGCACCGAACAGGAGCTCTTTCTACTGGTGGTCCAAGATCCGGGCGTTCAGGCCCGATTTTTCAATATCTAAGAGAGAGCGGTCGGCACCCACACATCCAACACGCATCCATCTGGAGATTGCAAATGGCTCAACTTGTTTGTAAGCTTGTGCCGAATCCGTGGAAGGTACTCATGGATGATTTGGATCTGCCCTCAGACCGCGCCAACCTCTTCGAGGCCAGGCAGAACACTCGATTTCCTGCACCATGGCTTTTAGCAGTTTAGCACTTATCAGCCTTCAACACCTTTCCGACCCACAGGGGGCGGCAGTGGTGGAGCGACTCATAGAGACAGCATTATGTTACTGTTGGTTAGTAGGGAATGGGGGAATGAGGTACCCCATATAAATAGGGGGATATCGGGTACCTCATTCCCTCATTCCCTACTAGCCAACAGTAAGTTATGGTAGCTGCCATAGAAGTCATGGCATGCGTAAGACCGACAGTGGCAGGCATCACTCGAGTATCATTCCTGAATGAGGAGGGCCCCAGGTCACCTTAACTTCCCTGCCTTCCTCCTCTGACCTTGCAGACCAAGAGCACCCGTGGCCAGGTGATTGATGCAGACCAGAGTGGGACCCTCCACGTCAGTGAGCTGGTGCAAGGACCCATCATAAGGGGCTGTTCACAGGCTTTGGAAAAGGAGCCCTTGCCTGGACACTGCTATCAAGTTGAAGGTTGTCCTTCCTCACGTGCTTTCAACTCAGCTGTGCCTTGCCAAAGCCCCTTTGGGTCTGCGGCCACATGTTGATGCTTGAGCATGCTTTGTCTGAATACCACATCGTCTGGTTGAAGAGAGTTGCGTCGGCAACCAGCCACCTTTCATCTCTCCGGCAAACCTCTGAAACCGAACCTGGTCCCTGGGTCACTGACCTTCGGTACTCTCAGCTACTCCCGGGGCACAAGGACTACTCAAGGTGCGCGGCGAGCTCAAGCCACTCTTCGCTCAATCTACGTGATGGGGCCCTAAATCAACCCTACTGCAGCTTACATATGAAAAAGTGGTAGCTCCATTCGTCTATTTGTCATTTGCATGCCGTTTTAATCTCCAGCCCTCAATGAGATGATAGTAAACGCTCCGATGAGATGGGGCTTATCGGGTGGGGCTTTGTTTGTTGAGGTCCCCTTGTCTAGGGACCTCAACAGACACAGATCAGCCCAGGAAGAGTGATGCCGTTGCTGCGTCTCTCGGCACGCAGCGGGTGTAGAAGTTGCAAAGAGCGGCTCAGAAGTCAGATGCCTTTTGAGTTCATGCTACACCAGATAAACCTTAAGCCCCTGTCAGCGGTCTAAGCTTTAGATTAACTCAAGCTAAGAATGTCTGGTTCCTACTCCACGTGCACTTCAGGCTACTGGCAACACAATCACTGCAGATGATGGTGACTGCCTCCAGGCTGAGGAGTAGCCTCAGTGCTTGGGGTAACTGCACAGACCAAGTGGGCACAAAGCTTCCGAGAATTGTGCCACTAACTACTCATGCACGCCGCGGGCTCCCCCAAGGGACAAGCTTATGACTGAAGGGCCCACATCCTAATCCGCAGCCTCAGCCCTTTTCCCATGGAGCACAAGTGAGCTAAGGACATGAGAGATGAGATTCGGACTTTCCTCCATCAAGTGCTTAACAAGTTGCCTGCTTCCCCTCGGCCCACGCAGTGGGACCGGAACGGCGCGGGCGGTATGCTGTAACCCCTGGCAGCTTCGAGCTTTGGAAAGTTGCGCATTGTTCGTCCGTGTGGTTTGTGTCGGTTGGGGCTGAGCAAACTTCCGGTGGCGATCTGCTTTGCAAAGCAAAGTTGCAGACTCGCATTTTCTGGATCCTCTGGATCTGCAATCTACATCACAAGATCTGAAGGCCTAGACCCTCTAAGATCTTCAAACATGTGCAGATCCTTTTTTCCACGAGCTGCGCCGGTGGTGCGAGGGTGTGGCACGGGAGACGGTGAGGGCGGCAGCTGCGCAACAAGGCTGCTTAGTGGTTGACAACGTAAGTGGGTTGCACAGGACCACTCGGTAGGATTGTTACAAAAAGGCTAGGAGCTGTATACGAGTGTGTGTTGAACTGTTCACTTTCCTGCCGGTCACTCGGCAGGCACTGCTACATGTCAAATATCCAGTCGCACGGAAAGCGAGGCTACAGCAATCTACGGAATCTGCACAAGTTCCATGCACTAACAGACTTCTCGTGCCAACTTTGAACATCGAGTGGGTTTCAAGGATCAGTGTTAATGTATAGGGTTTCTGGCACGTCTCCATCTTTGTGTCAATGAACTTTCTCTCGAGCTGCATGTGGACTGCCTTCCATGTGCCCCGCAGATCGATGTAGAGAGGCGGCTCTGTACTATTCATGTGAGCACAGCGAGACGGCGCGTGTGTGGGTGTTAGACGATTAAACTGCAGACTGTCTGGAGAAAGGTGCAGAACCAAATGTGCGGGTCCGGAGACGTCTATCATCGTTGCATTCCGCAGCTGGAATGCCACAGAATCGTTTCACCTTCGCAGAATGGAGCTCGCCGAATGAGGCTCCCCAAAGTGCTGAGCCTAACAGGCCTGCGACCTGTAGGTGTCTCATTCTCAGAGACCAGCACGCCACGAAGTGGCCTTCTAGGCTTTGGAACGCTGCTCTTCAGCTTAAGCCCCTTCCCATGAACCCGAGACCTAAAGACCGTAAACGCTTCAAGCCCTGAGCAGCATTCCATGAGCGCTTGTCGCCGCCAATTTATCTGCCCCACAAGTAAAAAAGAGTGCAGTGAGGGCAGACTGGGTTTTGGGCAGAGAATCATAATCCGACACCTGGGGGACTCTGTGCGAAACCCGTACTTGGGGTGTCTACAATCTGGGATAGCAAGCCGAGGTTGACTTCTTCTTGCACTGTCGAAGTAATAAACCCCAAACCCTAAACCCTACTCCCTGGCGCTTTCCAGTCCTGGGGCTCCAATGCCAGGACGGACGATATTCGTGTAGCAAAGCTGTCCGAGAAGCAGCCAGCTGAGAGCGACAGCTTGACTGTCTCGCCGTGGAAGTTGGGGGGATTTTTCGGGTCTAGTCTTCAGGATGGATTCGGGCTTCAGAGGTCTTGGGGCTTCAGGAACAGAAGCGAGAGCAATGCCCTGACACTCGTCGCAACAAGCTCCCAAGCCGTCCAAGCCTTTAGGTCCCTTGGCGCCATCTGGGTGCGTGATGGCAAGGCCAGGGTTTAAGGGGCTTAGGGGTTTTCAGGGGGCGTAGAGGGTTTGGAGGGTTTCGGGCCCTTAAAAGCAAAGCGACCCTGAAAGCCCACACCGGGTTCCAGAGATTCTCCAAATGCTCTTTTGGCGGAGGTGGTGGGCGCCCTCCTCATGGGATCGCCTGGACCTGGGCCAGAGGAGCCCGAGAAACCTTCGACCTGTCGGGCCCAGCCCTTCCCTAGATTTTTCCTCCAAAAAAATCCCTAAAACCCTTGAAGCCCCGAAACCCACAAAACGGAGAAAGGTGAAGTGGCAACGCCACAGGCCCCAAAACCGCCTCAGGACCAGGCGAAGCTACGGAAAATTGCGGAGACCTGCCCCGAGGCAGGGGCAGCAGAAGAGGCGGGCAGTGTCCTACTTTTCCCAAAGGGATTCAGGCTCAGAGCTTAAGCTTTGGGAGTTTAAGGCTTCGGGATTGAAGGGTTTTTTCCGGTGTGAGTTTCTGCTTCAAAGCTTCGAAGCTTCGAGGCTGGCTCAGTATGGCTACGTCAGATGTGGTAATGATTTGATATATTTGCTGGGTACCGCATGTCGGGATGTTCCTAAATGCTTTTGGCTAGCTGAGGCCTTAAGACCTTAGGGGCCTGAATGGCGTGCTCTACGGCATCGCGTGGCTCGAGAATACCCAAAGGCTAAGAAAGAGCCAAATGGGGAGGTTCAGTGCAGATTCACAGCTTTCTGCAGTTGTGCAGCAGACGGGAAGCAGGTCTTCAAGCAAGCCGGCTTCTGAGCGCGCGCACGACACGGTGCAAGATCTCCCGTTCAAAGATGCTGGGAGTGTGTGTCCTAAACTGCGCAGAGCGCGTCATAGACTTGCTGGCCGTTTGTGCGAAAGGGAACCCTGAAGGATTTCCGTAGCAGACACGGTGTGCATACCTGCGAAAAGCACGAAGGTTCGGGAAACAAAGTCCCGCTGCTGGAGCCATGATATCAGGCCGCAAGGCCAGGCCCGAGCGCAGGGCCCAAAAACCTTGCTGGAGTTAGGAGCCCCGCAACAGACATTTTCGTACCTGACTCAGCAAAGGGCAGAAAAGGCCACTGTGCGCTGTGGAGTGAGGTTCCCGAGTGATGGTTACTCCATTTGCATCTGGTGGCCATGTCGTTGTCTAGTCCTAGATGTTGACAGTATTTCTTTGAGCTGCCGTCCACAATGATCCGGCAACCTGCGACATGCCATCACTCAACTGCGTCTCATTCTTAGGCTCCAACGGCAAGCATGCCCGGGGAGCCGCTACCGGTACCAAGTAAAAGCACATGATGTCGGTGAGACCACTGTCATGGGCATAATGGGGGTTTCTACCATTTTGGGGGTCTTTCTCAGGGGATTCTATTCTGTTTGGGGTATTATAAAAGGGGCACCCCTACTTTGGGAAATGCCCATGTGGGGCTTTCCACTAAACAGAATAAACAGAAGAAAGCTATCAGCGGTGCTCTTGCAGCCAAGAGGTGTCAAAATTATGAGACTGCGAGAGCGCCGGCTCTTTCGATATTTATCCGATGGCACTCCTGAACTGTGACGCCATGGCCCCCTAACAGGTGCACCAAGAACAACTCATGTGATTCTGTTTCGGCCCTAAGCCCCTCAAGCGTCAAAGAGCCCCAAAACCCTAAAGTCCCTAAACTCCCTGAGCCCCAATTGGGGTGCTCAGCGACATGGCCTGTGCGACCGCGCTGATATTGAATGCTTCGCAACCGTTGCCGCCACTGGGCTTGGAGGAGGTTTCGGATTCCCCCTAAACCCTAAACCCAGAGAGGGTTGACTTGGACCTGCGGCTTCTACCGAAGCAGGCCATTTGGCCACTGAGCCGACTGAACCCCTGATCTTTCCTCCCAGGCCCTACCCACTGAAGCACGAGTGCTTCGAATGCCAGGCTGGCGAGCGTGGATTAGGGTCTCGGTTTGTTCCAGATGCTACAGTACACGTTGAAAGCCGAGAAATGCCGGCAGTGCCATCCGAAGCGTACGGAGAGCCGTGAACAGAACAGGCAGTCTAGCAAAGCCGCCCTTCCAAGCTTAAGAATGCTATTGCAAGCCCGAGAGATCTCAACCCTACCAAGATCCTAAAGACAGGTCTTCCACGACCGCTTGGTGCTCCCCGCGCGACATCCCTCAGTCCGCTGCCTTCTGAAGGCCACGAGTTCCGGTTGCCCAGAGTCCCTCCATGAGACTTTGGAACCTAGAGTTGGCTGACCCCCCAAAACCCCCTAAGCCCCTAATTTGAACCGCTTCATTATAACCCCCCCAAAAAGAGCTTTCAAGGGCCCCAAAAAGGGGGGGATAGCGTGGAGAGGCGCAGCACCAGCCCATCGAGGCGGTGGATGCTGAGGGCGCGATGGCCAGCCTCCACAATGGCCCCATGGCCGTGTTCGAGAACCCACCCTTCCCCCCTTCCCCAACAAAGTAGAAGAGAGGTAAGAATAGTCAATGGCAGAAGAGGAAGCCAGAGCAAAAATGTCAATCAACCCTTTACCCCGTCCGATGGTTTTGAGAGCGCAGCATTGCCACAGCACACGTGCCATGTCAAGCAAGCCATCGAAGACTGGACTGTTTTCACCAATCGGGGATCTGCAAAAGCTATGCAGATCTCCCAAGCACCACGCACGACTAAGGACACGTCAGAAAGGAACTGGTTCAGCACATGCTGCGTTGTCGCCAGAAGTCAGGCCATTTTGGTGTCAGTGATCCAATAGAAGCAGGTACACGCACGACGACGAAGCACAACGTGGCACTAAGCCGCTCATCCACCCGTCCCTAAGATGTGGCAGAGCCATGGAGCAAGTTCTAACTCTCTACTCACCTCTCTGCTGGTGAAGGACCCTGCCTAAAGAACGCACAAGAATTTACATCAGCTTTGGTGCTGACTCCTGCGCAGCTTATGCCTTCAACATGAGCCCGACACAAGCGCACCGGCTGCCTCAACCCAAGACCGGAGTCTTTGAGTGTTTTTGAGCCCTGGTGTCAGGGCGGCTCTTCTGGAGCCTGAAGCTGCGAGGCGGGTCAGTTCCGGGTCCGATCAGGCATTTGCACGGAGTCTGTCAGTTGCTTCCAGGGATTTCTCAAACTTGCAGCTCAGAATCGGGACTGAAGCAGGCATGCGAACTTGTAGCCATGCAGAGTGACGCCTTCAGGCCTGGTTTCCTCCCTCAGGCCGGAGCACATCATCGAGGCTGACCGAGTGAATGGCAGAGCCTGAAAGCACGCAAGGTCCATCCCTACTTCACGCGGATTGCCCGTGTGACCCAGCGTGATATCCTTGACTCAGCATGAGAATTGGAGAGTAGCTGAGTAGCACGAGTCAGAATAGTCTGTAGTCGCGGGCCCAGCTTGGCTTCAGGCGTTTCTTCTGTGTGCGCCGGCACCGAGCCTCGGCGCCAAGATGCTTAAAGTGTCCAGGTGGTATGAGATGCGGGCTTGACATGATTTGGCACTCGGATGGTCTTTCTCACCATTCTACCGACCACAAAGCATAGTCTTGCTTGTGCCATGTCCAGGGTATGGGCGTAGTGTTCAGGGTACATCGAAGGCTGCAAAGGCTGAAGCAGTGATCTTGACGGCGCAAATCAACTCCAGACCATTTCCCACGCTCTTGTCTCTCGCCTTTTTGACAGAGATCTGGCATGACAACCGGGGCTAGAGCTTTCTCGCACAGGCCCGCAAACTTAAATCCTCGCCTGGTGCCACAACTATGACCGATGCAGCAGCACAACTGACAAGCTGTGACCTCAAGTGCGCTGCCATACAAAAGCTGCTGCAAAGACGAGTACACTTGTTAGGGCGATTGCTCCGCGGCATTCTTACTGAACTTGGCTGATTCTTTGCAACCTTGACGCAGCATTCAGACAGCTTTCATAGCCAATCAGCCACGAGCTTCTGGAAGAGAGGTGTTCCTCCTCAGATGCCAGTGTTGCTTGGCCGCAATTCAGGCAAACTGCAGACTTCTGTTATGCGAAGGTCGAACCCATGCAGAGTAGACCACAAGCTTCTGACATCGAAAAGTAGGACCTGGTAGGATGCGTGAGCCTTGTTTTAGCATATGCCAGCTGCACGTCTTGGAAAGCTACACGGACATCTCAAGACCCTTAGGAGAGGAGCAGAGCCTGAGCCTTTTGCCAGGCGTGGCTGGCATCAACGTACTTGGAAGGCACTCGCAACGAGGGTGCGGTTTTCTCCTTGCGAGTTAAGGTACACGAAGCACAAAGGACTTGAAGGTGATAAGATACTATTGCATGAAGAGCATGAAGTACGAGTTTTAGCCATTTGGGCTTTGCACACACTCCAGCGCACTCCAGGCCTGTTGGATGCCCACAAGCTGTCGATAAGTCCTTCAATTTCTGGACAGTTGTCATGCCACTCCGCCTGGAGACATTGTGGGCTCCGCATTGATAAGGTGCTTCTTCAGGTTTCCCCCATAAGGTCCACAGAAGGCGAACGAAGTTGCGAACACATTGAGGCTCCTCTAGGATTCACTGGGCTCTTACTGTGTACCAGCACCAAGTCGCAGTTGTGTGGCCAGTGCCTCCAACCACGGTTTTTCCTAGCTCGGCAGAAACGAGTAAGATCTTCCAGCCACTTCAACCTGTTCGTTTCTCCGGAAGCCCACCTGCGCCGCTGCGTCCTTGAGGGAACCGACGCGCGGGTGTGTTCCGTCCCGCGGCGCCCCAAGCCACCTGTGCAGGCAGGATGCCAGGTTCAAGGCTGTTGGTTCGCAACATGGAGGTTTACGAAAACAGAGGGTACCCTTTTTGAGGGTTCCTTATTGGGGTCCTTATTATAAGGGAATCCTACTATTTGGGGGTCTATTTTTTAGGGGCCCCTTATTATTTCGTAAACCCCATACGGGTTGCAGAATTTGGGGGGCTTGTTTGGCTGCGTGAGCCTGCAGCTGTTAAAGAATACAAGAAGCGATGTATGTCCTAGTGCGCCCGTGCACCCAAGCCCCGAAACGGCGAAACCCCAAGAATCGAGCTCCTGATTCCTTGTCGGATCTTGTCGGGATTTGAGATGTTCAAGATTGTTCTCGGAGGTAGAGGCTTCCGCGAACTGCCGCCACGGCTCGCCTTCCCAGCAGAGTCGCAGGAAGGTGCCAGAAGTTCGTTGAGGTGATGGGGTTCAAAGTTGGTGGCGCCTAGACCCTGGAAGACCTGTAGAAATGGTAGAAGGGCCGACCCGGCAATAGGTTCGGCAGTCGGCGGTGGTCTAGTGTAAGTTGTTGTTCTTGTCGTGTTGCGCGTTTGGCTTCAGATTCGTGGTGGTAGGTATGAAAGATCAAGGACATCAACAGGCCAAGGAACATGTCGCAGAGTACCCTCAAGATGAAAGCCCGCCTCGAACGCCTGTCATCCCACCATCTGCCAGCCATCGCCGAGCTTCTCCACCAGATGGCACCACCACCAGGAATGGGCCACTCAGCAGAGACGTGCCCACACATTTCCCAGTTGCTTGAGGGCTTCGTCTTGCATGTCGCATGACTTCGCTTGTGTTGCTGGTTCATGGTCTTCAGTTGAAGCTCATCCAAGGGCTGCAGGACTTTGCTTTGACAGAGGGATACTGCAACCGAACTTGCACGGTGACGATAAAACGCAAAGCCCCACAGCCCCAACCCTACTAAATCCTCCACGAATTTCCCCAGCACTTGCTTCGGCAGCTGCAATTCCGGAGTACTAGCTTTCGCCCGTCCTCTTCTCGCAAGTCTGAAAAACAAAGTCTGAGAACGTGCTGGCAGTTGTTCGGCCCGACTTTCGGTCGTCGCCCCATTTCCTGGCAAGAAGATTTCCAGCGCTCCAGGTCCATCGATCCTGAGCCATGGACCAGGACATGCCAGCGAGTTCAGGATAAGATGGGGAGTTACTCGTAGTGTGCACATTGTGCACGCGCTTGGTCTGCACAGCATTCAGCAGGGCCCTGCTTAGGCCTGGAAGGTGCTTTTTTGTGACCATTCAGACCTTAGCCCGTTCATGTTCGCCAGGACACCCCTTGGCGGGGCAGATCTCCTTTTTCGTGACTCCCGGCTTCGTGGCACGAGAGAAATCCTTGGATTTAAGGCATTCATGTGCCCTCGCCGCCTCGCTTATGCTCGAAGGAAGTCATTCGTGCCGAGGCTTCAGTGTGGCTGGCCGAGAGGTCCTCGAGACACAGGGCGGCTGCCGGCGAGGTTCAAAGCTGTGTCTGTGTCTGTGTGTGTGTGTGTGAGTGTGAGAGAGAGGAGCACGGCTCGATGAAAGGGTTGGGCACACTCTGCCCTGCACTTTGGAGGTTGTACAGAGCCTGCCTAAAGATGCCATCGTGTAACACTCGATCAGCTTCAACTCGCAGCTTGAGCCGCCCCCGCACCGGAAGATTGGCCACAACTGCTTTGTCACCACAACTAACCCGCTTCTCACCCAACATTCATCCAAACTTCCATACCTAGAGCCCAAGAAGTCCATTCAAACGTAGGAATCAAGAGATTTGTTGGGGATGTGGCCAGACATGGGTGTTCCACTTCCTCAAGGGAAGGGGGGGGGGTTCTCTCCACCCTACCATTCAAGAAGCGCTTCCTGGAGATCGAGGCGCATCTACTGTACATACTCTACCCTAGGCTGCACTTGAGAAGTGAGCCTCACCTCGAGCCCCCCAGCTTGTACGTCCCTGCTCGTCCTTGCAAACCCTGGGAACCCGACGCCCCTCAAACTTCGCAGCAGGCGTCGCCGCCCTCTTCGCTGGTGCCTGGCGCTTCTCCGAGCGCACGGCCTCGGGCACCTTGGGTGGTTTACGATTGAAAGCGTCGGAAAGTTTAGAAGCCATAGATGCCACCACTGACCAATGATCCCCTCAAGGTCTCGAGGCTTCCTCTAACTGACTTTCCAGAATGACACAGGTGAAGGCCAGACCACCAAACCCGTCTGAGGCATCCATCGCCACCTGCTCCGACCACTCCGTGCACCCTGGGCACTCAACATCCGGCATTCTGCTTCCTGCTAGGGCTGCTAGGGGGACTTCCGATTCCACAGAAAAGCCTGCTCTGTGGAGGGCCTTTGCCATGCCAGAAGAGAAGGGCCGAGCTGAGACTGCATTGAAGGCAACGGCTTTCGCCGTGGCAAGTGGCGCCCACCGCCGTGACGAGTGACTGGCGCAGCGTTTACCGTGAAACCTTCAGGTGAAGGGTCTTAATGTCGGGGTTCATGCAGGCAGCATCATCTACAGCACTCGATCCGGCAATAGGGACGACAATATGGACTTCAAGTCAAGGATCCACAAGCAAAGTGCGTGGGGGCTGCACACGTCTGGAAGTGTCCACTCGAAAACAATGCAGCTTTGATCCACGGCCTCCTCAGCACACCAAGTGAAAGCGCGCCGTGTCGCACTGAATCTGAGACCGTCTGCAGTTTGCGGGCACGTCGGAACAATATGCTGAAACATAGCCCCATGCCACGCCTCCCAGACACCGTCTGCGGCGGCTTTGGCCCACACTGGCTCGCATCAAACGGGCGCCTTGGGTCAGAAGCGCACAAGAAAAGTTCTGTTGGATGAAGAGCCTTCACGGAGTTTTCCGTGCCAAGTTCCGTACGTAGGCTCCAGGCCTTGGGTATTGGGACCAGATCTGGGGAGGTGCAAGGCACGAAGAAAGAAAGTGCCAAGTGTGGACTAGCGATGACTATCCGCTATCCCTGAAGCTTAGGACGTGATCTAAGGTGCAGGACCTTTCCTACGAGGAGCTGCGCGCAAGCATCAAGCAGCCTGGCCCGTTCCAAGCTCGCGGCTGCTTTGCAATGGTTCAAGAGGGCTTTCTCGCTCCTCCTATTCATGGCAGAATATCCCTTACAAAGAAGGGCCCCTGAAGATTTAGTATGAGAAGCCCTGAGAACGTTAGTTGAAAACACCCGCCCCCCTGATGATCTTTTTTCGAGATCCCAAGGCCTACTGCGCTGGCGCTCTACGAGGCCCTCGGCTCTGGGGCACTGTCACCCCTCCGCGGTCTGCTGGCAGCTGTTTGTGGGGTTTTAGGGCCTGGGGTTTGTCCGTTTTGGGGACCTGTCGTGGAGAAGCAACGGCCAAGCTGCAACATCCAGTTCATTCTGAAGATGGCACTGCTTAGCCTCCATGAAGCTACGCAGCTACCGACCCCCATTGATTAGGCCAAAGCACTAACCACACACCACGATTCGGGCTATTTGGGGGTTTACGAAACAGGGGACCCCTAAAACAGACGCCGTATAGTAAGATTCTTTACGTATAGTCGGGACCCAGGTACCCCAATTTCGGCAACCACCACTTTATTTTGCTGGGAGCTTCGAGGAAACCCCGCGGGTGCCAACCTGCAGAGCCTGCGGAAGCTCATGAGCCTTCGTCGCCCGAGTTTGAAAGTGTTTTTGCCCTCGTTTTGTGCTCCACTTGAAGTTGCTGCGGCGTTGAACTTCACTGTATTTCATTCAGGTCTACTGCTGACTCACAGTTTGTGCAAGTGCTGTAGTTTGTGGAAGTCGAGATGTGAACAGTAGTGTGTTGAGCCGCGTTTCAGGCCAGCTGCTGATTGCTCACTTCTTTTGCCGACCCTTCTACACGATTTCAGCAAAGGATGGTGCTCGAGCTGGCGCGAGGCAGGCCGTGGACTCTACAGAATCGCTGGATAGCAGCTTTCGGACAGCGCCTTGCGCCCCAGACTAAAACAGGCATTCAAACAGGCGGCAGGTTACATTCCCTTGATTGAACAACGCAGATGAATTTGCCAGGCTGCTCACCAAACACGGGCATTCTGCAACTAGAGCTCCCACCCTTCGCATCTCTTCCCGGGAGACTTCGAGAATCAGCGCGGCTGTCGCTTCGATTGGCTGGTGCACAGCCGTCTGGACACGCAGCTGCCTTGTATACAGTCTTGTAAGCGGAACCGTGCTTGTTTTACGCAGCTCTCTCTCTCTGCTGAGTGAGCATCAAAGAGCTGCGCACATGGTTGCCACATGTTACCACGTCGTCTCAGCCTCTAGGATGAGGAAGGCATAGGAAGCCTGCATCTGTCAGCCAAGCAGCGATCCCGAAGATCCCAAACACTTAAACGTCGATTTTTCCGGGGCAATACCGCGGTCGTCGAACCTTGCCGTCCAGGACATGATTTGGGTGGCTGACCATCCGCCGCTGGCCTTTTTCGACAAGCCTGGCCCTCAGTATCCCTCAGTCACTTCAGCTCCCAGCTTCAGCTGGCAACTCCCAATATTTGAGGTCCGAAGGCCAGAAGACTTCGTTGAAAATGCAAGTTCAACACCAAATGCAAGTCGTGCCCCAGATTACAAAACGCCGGCCGCCAAACGAGGACCAGGATTTGGACGGCACCCCTCCTGGGCGCCCGCGGCTGGCAGCACCAGAACAGGCAGCCAGGCTGCAGCCACACAATTGTCATTATTGGTTTTGGTTCTCCAGGGGCTCCCCCTGTGCATCTTGACTACATCGACGCTAGAAGGGAAAGGCAAGCAGAAGGGCAGTAGGCGGGAAAGGGTGCAGGAGTCAGCAAAAGCAGCCTCTTTCCTAAACAGAGATGCAAGTTTTTGAGCGTAGCCGAGCTGCTTCGGCATGGTGCGCCCTTGTGATTCCTGGAGCATTGGCTTGGATTTGGGCCCCCCAGCAACTTCTCGCATGTGCGCCATGCTGTGTGTCAGAGGGCTCTCAGGACAAGAGCTGGCGAGAGTTCCTGTGGAGGAGTTGAGCGACGTAAGGTCCTTAAAACTGCTCTTAAATCGGCTGCACGGCCTGCCCTCGAGATTCAGGCAGAGGCTCCTGATCCGTGGCAGTGAGGCTAGTTTAGCGGATGACGAGGTGCTGGACACCTCTATGGATCTGGAGCTCGTTCTGATTCCGTTTTCCTGCGTTTCCCAGACACAGGTGGACGAACTCGTTGCCGCTGCACGAGATGGTTCCTTGACGAAGGAGTGGGCTTCTGAAATTCTGAGACTGTCCAATGTCCAATTAGCTGTCCGGCAAGATATGGCTAGCCCCCAGACCCCCGCAATTCCCCGTGACACCTTGGTAACCTTGGTGTTTAGAGCTATGGACGCCAGACCCTCCAGGTGGAGTCTATGCTGCAGGTCCCGCAAGACCCGAATTTGGCCGACAAAGACGGCACAACAGCTTTGGTCGCGGCATCCCTCGGTGGCCATGTTGAAGTCATACGTGTCTTGCTTGAAGGCGGCGCCAACACAGACTTGGCTCCGAATGGCATCCCACCTTTGCTGTTGGCGTGTCGCCGTGGCGACGCAAAGGTGGTGCAAATGCTGCTTGATGCCGGCGCGGACAAGGATTTCATAAACGAACGGGGCTCCGCTCTGATAGCTGCAGCTAGCCGGGGCCATGTTGAAGTGACGCACTTGCTGCTGGAGGCTGGCGCCGACAAGAACGCCGACAACGGCACCACGGCTCTCGTGTGTGCATCTGCCTGGGGCGAACTTGAAGCTGTGAGCTTGTTGCTGGAAGCCGGCGCCGACATAGACATGGCAAGCTCCGATGATGGTGACACAGCTCTCATCTCTGCAACTAGACAAGGCCACGAACGTGTGGTGCGCTTGCTGCTGGAGGCCAGGGCGAACAAGGACATGACAACCAGGGAAGGCAAGACAGCCTTAGACCTAGCATCTGATCGAGCTGATGCTGGACTCGTGGCTTTGCTTGAGGGCGCTGTCCTCAACTTGGCAACGGGGTTGATCCAATAACTTATGGACTCTTCTGTTCCCCACAAACCACGGACTTTGACCCGTAATATGATGCTTGTTTGTTTGCTTTTCCACGGGTCGAGCCTCCCGGCGTAGCTTCGTGACAACTATGAAATGAGCTCACGGCCGACACAAGCATGAGCTTGGTATCTGCACAGGTGCATTGGTGTTGGTACTGTGCCTTCCCAATTGAGCTCTGAAGTCCAAGAGTTCCGAACTTGCGCACATCAGGTTCATCATCAACGACTGGCACGCCGTTGTCCCTCGCACCCTGGAGTAATGGGATTCGAATGCATGAGAGGCCAGCACACCTAGGCAGCCAATCCAGATTACAATTTTGTTGTATGAACATGTGCATGCTCTGCTAGTGAAGCTCTTGCAAAGTGGCGAGATGATCTGCGTCAGCACAGCCAAGGTCATCTGGCCAACGCCTACTGGGGCCGATGGGGCTTCATCCAAAAGGGGTACGGGCGCCCAGATGACGCGGTCCATAGTCAGGAGAATTCCTTCATCGACAGCTCATGTCGACTTGACCTTGCTTCGCTCCTTCCATGTACCAGACCTGCACTTTCACCTCTTAGTTGCTGCTCACCAGCAGGCTCGCAGCACACCCCCAACGAGTTGTTTGCAAGAAGCGCTGGCATTTAGCACACCCAGCCTTCGTTCCCCTGGTCTGAGCAGAACTGTGGCCACCTTCCAGTTCCCGTCTTTTTCGTATTGTAAAGTTTCGAGCATCCCGAAGACGACAAGAGGTGGGCCCCTTGGACCCCAGTCAGCGAGCCGGGCGAGCTGCTTGCGGGCGTGCTGGAAGTGCCGGGATGCCCAGGAAGTAGATCCACCAGGATCGGACAACAACAACCATAAACAGTTGAGTGAGTATACAAACAAACATACATGTGTATATATATATATATATGTATATATATATATATACATATATATATATATATCTGCTCTATATGTATGTACAGATATTTATTTTCGTGGCGATAAGAATCTAAAGATGCATTCAGACGTGCAAGGGTTCAGGGTCGACCGCGGTGTCCTCCATCCTGTCACCATCCGAAGAAATGCATGTTATGCTACGTTCGGTTGTTAGAGCACACAAGACACCTCCTCCAATACCATGATGTTGCAAATATGTATAAACACTATAATATGGGTATTGGCCAAAAAATTAGGGGCACCCCTTTTATACCCCAAATAGAATTGACTCCCTTAAAGGGACCCCCCAAAAGGGTACCCCTATTTTCGGGGAAACCCCCACAGCTACATCTACATGGGGGTTTTCGAAAGTAGGGGTACCTTGTTGGGGTCCTTAGACGTCCTTAGTATACGGGACTCCGATTATTTGGGGGGTCGATATTGAGGGTCCCCTTTTTTCGTAAACTCCCACATAGATTCGATCGTCCCCCTAAACCCTAACCATGTGTCAGATGCCAGGCTCCAAGTCCAAACGGGCCAGTTTGATGCCGTTTTCTGCCTGGAGCACTGCCACGCTTGGGCCTGACTCGTGGCCTGCAGCCCACTCGTGGCACGTTAGGGCTTTTAGGGTTTTTTGCGTTTTGTAGGGCTTTTAGGGCTCTAGGGCTTTAGGGTTTTAAGGGTTTTGAGGTTTTTCAGGGTTTGCAGGGTTTGTAGGGCTTTTAGGGTTTAGGGGTTACTGTGGCTTTGGGATCTTCAGGAGTTCGGGAAGCTTCGTGTAATGTGCGGTTCAAAGATAGCCCACAAATTCCGTCCGAAATGTCATGTCTATCAGCAGCTGCTGTTGGCAGTGGAGGCTGACATGGCAGCACGACCCTAGCATCCACTAGGCTTCCCACCATGGACACAGCACGACACTAGTATTGATGGGTTGGGCTTGGCGAAACTGCCGTTGCAAGCTTTTCGGGTATCCTAAGGCTAGCACACGTGTCGGAAGTATGAGCGCCTCTCGCCACTGTTGCCCTAACCACAAACCCAAGGCCAGTTCAAATCCTGGCTTTCAGATGAAATGCGGGCATCGCGCTGGCGATGGCCAGATAGCAGGCTGGTCTTGATCACGGTCCGTAAGCGCAGCTAGCTGCATTGTGTCTTGCAACGACATCCCTTTGAGAGCTTAGGTCCGGAGCTCTTGCGCGATGCTGTACAAGTCTTACAGAGTGCTTGACTCCTAGCCCAAGATTGATGACACATCCCCACCAACTGTCATGCCGAGCAGTCTCACGCCAGGGGAACATTCCAAAGGTCAGACTAAATAAGGCCATGGTTGCCAGGCTGCAGTAGTTCTTCACCCTCACTCATCAGCCCACCTGACAAACTCGGAAAGGCATCACGGACACGAGTTCCCCCCAGAACACGCAACCCGCCTAGGCCTCTTCGGGGGCAAGCAAACAAGCAAGCAAGAGTCTGTATCCCTGCAAAAACAAAAACAACATCAACACATCCTCCGGCACGGAGAACCCTTGTCTTTCATCATCCTTCTACGCTCCCCTGTACCTGTCACTTCATCACCCTAGAACAAGAGTCAAACAAGGGTGCACGTCACGCGTCGGCGGATGCCCGGCAGAAGAAGAGGAAGAGACCGAGAGAGAAGCTGGTAGCAGGACCTCGAACTCTCGCCCTTCGGTTCGGCCCCCCCTCGGGGGGGCCTAGCATGTGGAGAGAGAGAGAGAGAAAGGCGTGGATGCTGTTAGGGAGAGGGTCGGAGAGTAAATGGATGCTGAGGAAAGGGGCCAGGTAGATGTCAGGAAAGATGGGGGAGTCTCTACAAGTCTGGCATGGGCGCAGTACAGCAGGCAGTGTCATGTTTTAGAGATATGTGGCATAGGGTCGGGAGGGAGGTTGACGACTGGTGTTGATGGGCGACG